AGACTCCGGATGCTTGCTGCTCGAGAATCCGAAGAAACATGACGAAGCTTGGGACTCCACTCCAGGGGGCATCTGACGGTTTATTGTAGCCCTTCTAAAGAAGAAAGCACATCGTTATCTACATGTGAAGGTGCGGAGAGAATTTCTGTCTCAGACAGAATCAGGTGCGTCGTTCAAGACCTCAAATAGAATCCTGGTCCGGTAAAGGAAATTAAAAGCCTCGTATGGAAGTATACTAGAGTATTTTCACGCTCTGAGAGTTAGCACAGAAGATTCCCACGGAATAGATCATTATTAAATCAACACATCTTCAATTTGAGGAAAAGGAGGAGGCAATGCCAAGACGTTCACAAATAAATGTTGATTCATCCTGACACATGAGAGTATCTTCAACGATGGGAACATCGAATAAACAACGTTGTGGCAACGTTGCCACGTTAAAAAATCAATCCTCACTCAACGTTGACAAAACGTTGTTGTGCCGAATGGAACATGTTCTGGAGATAAAGAAACTGACGTGCGAATCCCCTCTTTTACATGAAGGGGAGGATGCGTCGACTAGGCTTCCCCTTTGTGCGATCGGCTATGTAACCCCGAGTTCCACGCCTGTGCAGCTGTTCAATGCGCATACTCTCAGTATTTTTTTGGAACCAGAGTCGACAGTGTTGCCAGGTCCCACGTGAAGATGGCCACGTCAATACTTCATATGTTCCTGAGTAATACTGTCAATCTTCGAACTTATTCATCGGAATAAAAGCTCAAAGCCTTAGCACACCCTTCCTCCGTCAAAATAAAGTTTGCAAAAAAAAAAGACTTCTACCATGAGAAGGCCCATTCCTTTCTTCTTCGGATCACTCTGTTTCTGAGTGGCTTCCACACTATGTAGCGAAACCGAAAACCGCTGATTCATAGACCGTATCCGAACCGTGACTCTAAGAGCGGTCAGTCAACCTGGTGTGACATCTATCACCCTACCGTTGTTTGCCGAGATGAAGGAAGGACTTTCTCGAAAGAAACCGGAACAAATCCATTGAGGAATGAAACAGACTTTCCTCAAGGTGGTCGCCCTGCCACGCTTCCTCAGACCTGGTGGTCGCTGAAGGATGATGGCCAAAGGAGCAATCGCGTTGCCAAGGATGCAGTGAGCTGTTTTCCGTCGAGAGAGGTTATATCATGGAAATGTGAAGAAAAATTGAATTGAACAGGTTATGGATTTGTAACCTCTTAAATGAAAGCAACGAAAGTTTCATGCATTAGGCGGCGCCTGGTGAGTTTTCCGTTTAACTGGTGCGCAGACCAAACCACCAAAGCGCGAAATGACCGAATTTAGCGCAAACGATCTTAGGACGTTATTGAACATCAAATTTTTCGAGATATTGGCCCGTATGAGTAAAACCTGAGCCCTAGCTCAGAGTTTGAGCTGAGTCTGACCTTTTTCTTTATTTTCCCAGCATCTGACTGGGCAATTAACATGACTTGCGCCTTGGGAATCAAAGCCCTATTCCCGTTTTACCTGCAGAACATACTTGGGGAGTTTCGGAGGCGAGTCAGACTTCTCTACGATTCGGTCGAAAACTCGACGTCTCGGTATCCTTCACAAGATGTTAATACAGAAAGTTCGTATTACCAGGTTAGATAACCATGAACTACATCAGAAATGACATTTAAAACTAATACACGTGAAGTACCCTTTCCATGATTGCAAGATAGGAATTCTCCAGGAATAATTGGAAACAGGCGTACCCTGTGGATGAGGAAAACAAAAATTATTCGTATAAGGGTCGGATTTCGAATGTTGAGAGCCCTTAGCCGTAATATTCCTTGATGAATATTTAAAAAAAGTATGTTATTAACACTGATTAGAATTTCCTAGAAAAGGCAGGAATTAATTCCAGAGCATGTGGGGAAATCGAGATATGATATATAAATGTTTATACAGGTATAGTAGAATCAGAATACTCCAAAATTTCTTTTACCAAGTGGGTCATTGATGCCATTACAGATCTAAAGAGTGAAATCTGCACCCTGGCGTTGGCATATGTCATCACGGATCATGTATCCGCAAGGAGACTTCGTACTCGAGTCTGCCGCTTGGCAGACTCCGATTATTACGAGTTTTAGCCCAAAGATTGAGACAAAGCTCTCTTTCATTCATACAAAATACAATCTTCACAAAGGGGAGAGGTAGATCTCCCAGCATGGAGCTCAAGCTCTATGCATTTTATTCATCACAAATGGAGCTGTGGCTCCATTTTAGTCGAGCTCAAGCTCTAACTCACTTTTATTCATACAGGCCATTGTCAAGTCTCAAGATAGTCGACGTTGTTTTACCTGTTCGCAGCAAGGCAACTCGTTTGGATTTGAAGTCGCTCGATCAGAGTTGGCATGGCGACTAAATCTGCAGCGTGGTCGTATTTCACAATCTTTAAATTCATTAATAATTTGGAGAATGTATTAGGCATTCAGGTGACACTGCTCCGTGAAAGAGTAAAATTTGCTTCAAATTTAGGCAATGCCCACGAGACTTGCCGAAAGCCAATAAAATCGACTTTTTCTGGAGAATTCGTAGTGCTCCGTTGATTCGTCAGAACTCCTCGTCCGGGAGAAAATAAGACAAATCGTGCGGGATCGGACAAAAGACCTGACGCCGGACGAAAGCCAGAACGTCCATTTCTTCGTTCAGAAGCTTCACGAGCTTCTTGAAATTATGCTCCAAAGTCTGGTGATTGATCTGGTGATCAGACATCTTGCGTCAATTTTCCCACCTTGCGCAGTGTGAATCGAAGTTGCCCTGTGTTCTCATGGTGAAAAATATGGCGAGTATTAAGCGTCATTAATACGAGATTTTTTCTCGTATCATTCTCATGTTCGAAAGGAATTCAGAAATACATGGAATATGTACTTTTTTCTCGTTCTGGCTTTGGAAGATGGGGGAGCTAGGACTTCGTATCATCCTGAATATGTATATGGTACGTATAATGTGACGGATATTCATGGACAGAGAGGCAGGTCCTCGAATAGCCACAGCCCAGCAACCCCGGGAATCCTAGAGAAATCCCGTGAGAGACAGGAGCTCTTAGCCAATCGAAGCCAGCCCAACATTGCTACATTGCTATATTGCAAATAAATCACCACTGGTAGTGTAGGGATACAACTTATCCAATAGGCTACATAAAGATGTTTCAGAGCCAAGAAAAACTTTGTATATGGTGCATTGTGTAGGAAGTCCTGATTTGCCGAACGGGAACTAAAAAGCCCTTTCCTGGCGAAAACAAAGAACGGGAGTAATATACATACAAGTAATTACTGGGTTCCCACACGTAATTCCCACGTTGCCACGTTTGGAGGGGTAGGCCTAATTCTAATTAGAAGAGGGCTTCGAATGCTCTTCACCTTTACTCTATATATGTCTACAGGGTGTCACGTAATATTTTCTTCCTCTCAAGAGCAGAGACTACGACATCATTTTTCGTGGCATATTTCGCGGGCCAGATTACCGAATAGGCGGAGGAAGCACTTCACGGGAAGGGGCCATCGGGCGGGTGGATATCATGAGAAACAAAAAATGTTCACCGAAATTACAAGACTTTATCGCGGGTCATCCTCCCCTCCCCTCCCCCACCATTCTCACTTCCTTACGAGCTTGTGAGAGAGAGTTCGGAGTAAAGGCACGATCTGCCTTCGGTCGCCTGAAACCTTAAATCGGTCTTTATTGCAAACACATGCGATGAGACTTATTGAAAAATTTTCATTGCTAGTGATGACTGGCGTAGTGAACGAAAGCGAAGTTCTTCGAGTCATCAACATCATAATAAACATGAAATTGACGACTTTTGGTATGGCAAGACTTTCCTGGTACAATATGAGCCGAGCTCTTCAATGAAACTCAGTGTAAACATTCAAAAGCGTTTATCCCTATTTTTAGACCCCATAACGAGCAATGCACCATCCAAAGGCCCCAAAACGATGTTTTACTTAAAGGGGCTCTTTGTCATTCAAACGCCTGCCATCTCGAATCACCTGCAACTAAAAACATTGCAATAAGTATAATCACAAGTCTTAGTATTCTACGTAGTATCGATGCTACTACTACAACGTAGACAGTAGTACTATTCTACGATGTAGACATGGTATGAAAGTAGCCTTTATGACGTCAAGGGAAAGGAAACATTTTCACACCTCTGTTGCGCGGGAAAGGTACATTTTATGACTCCACCTTGAATGACTGTCGCTTCTTATGCCGACAACCTAGAAACATGAAACTTCCAGGAAGCAAAATTTGTAGCGTTTCCAATGTGACATGAAAAAAATACGAACCCAAATTATCCACAGCTGGTTTTAAAGCGCCAAACAGGACGTTTATTTTATTTTTGCCCCACCCGGTATTTTGCCCCAAAGTATCGCAATGGAGTTCAAAGGAAGCTTTATGGAAATGGCTCCTACTACCCCAAGTGGGGTGAGAGGAGCTTCTTGGGAAAAAAAAGCCACCCTAGCATCCCATCCTGAAGTCCCTAAAACTTCGAACAATTTTTGGCTTCAGAACATAATCTACTTGTTCTGGCCCTTTGTTGCAGCCGTGAATATTTGCATCCCAGCCATATAGCCAAGAAATTATGCGGAAACTCAATTTGTGTCATGTAGCTTCTCTTATTTCACGCTCTCTCATACGGTATGTAGCCTACCATGAATCGTTACTCTTCCAGGGTAGCCAATACTATGAAGAGCCGGCAGATGTCATGAGCATGACAATCGAGTCGGCGGGATGGAGAAAGAGCGGGTGGGGGGCGGAGCTCTATACAACATGGTGGCGTACGCGGGGAAGAGGCAGAGAGGAAGAAGGGAGGGGGAGAGGGACAGGGACTCCGCCGCTTCATAGCCCTATGTGAGTGTATGCGCTAGGCCTAAGCCCCGAGCTCTCTCTCTCTCTCTTCGTTTTCTAGGCTGGCGAACGCCAGCATTTTCTATGTGGTTCCTCTTCCCCCCTTGCCACGTTGGCGTGGATGGCCAGTTGAAGGTGTAGGCTTCACCCTTTTTATGACGGTGACGTAAGCGTAGCCAAATATATTCTGAAACTAGTTCATTTGGTATTGCCGCAGAAGTTTAGGCCTAGGTGCTACTTCTATTGGTAGGTGGGCAAGCCCCACTCCGCCTAGACTTCGGTGAAGGATCTCCGGAGATCAGTGGCTTGGATTAGCCTTGGTTTTTTATTAACTCTAAATATGTCTGTCATAAGGTCAATGCCTATATAGGCCTAATGTAGGCTTCATGCGGTTCTAAACGTATGCAGGATCATTCATGTGTTTGAAAATGTCATCAGGTTGAATGCAGTGTTTTTGAATCCTTAGATTGCTGAGCCCAAGCCCACTTGAAACCTGCAACAGCCCATGAAAAGAAAAAGAAAAAACAGGGGTATTCTGTAAAGTGAAATTTATTGTATTTACCAGCTTTAGTGCATTGTGAAAAAATTAAGCCATTTGGGATTATCAACCAGCACATGCTGCAGTGAAGTTGATGTTGTGCCTTGAACTCTTCAAGAAGTGTAGATCTCATGCAGTAGGCCCAGTAGGCCTATTTGGCATACATCTTGACTCCAATGGTATCCCCTGCAAAGGCCAAAGTGAAACAGAGTGTGTCGAGACAAAATGGTCAAGTGATCTCTCCGTCATTGCTGCATCGAACAAATAACATCAAGAAGCCCTCATCATCCTTCAAGAAAGGTAGATGGCAGACCCAAGCTGCTTATCACATTAGAATAAATAATAGTATGGATGAGTGTCATGAAAATACGTTTGGAGTTGCATTATATTCTAAGAAGTTATTTTATTTTCTGTGTTGCAGGGGAGCGTGCCAGCCCCACTGGGAACTTGCTGAAAGGAAGGAAGGTTTATTTGGATATCTCCAGTCAGAAGCAGCTGCTTGAAGTCAAATCAAAACTTCTTGCTGTTGGTGCTGTAAGTTGTTGTGCTCAGTGTTTCCTCACACTAGCGAAAGTTCATTAGCATTGTCATAGCCAGAGGGATGAAAATGGCATTGATTTTTCTTCCATGTTGAAAGCGGGATATGGCAGCTGTGTATAAGGGCGTTATAGTGGAGCGTTGCAGCCGTTGCGACGGCCTCATTATGCCTCTCGCTCGGCGCCAGTTCCCGTTCCGATAGACAGATGTCGCCGTTTCCATTTTTTTTTCGCATTCCCGCTTCCTCATATCGGTAATACTTTTAAAGAGTTCCTTGAGCTCGGTAAGGCAAGGTATGTTCCCAGTTGGTGAGCCCTGCGAGTGACGGAGGCAGAGCCCTGGCAAGATCGATGCCTTTCCCTCTGATGTAGGAAGAGGGAGAGAGAGAGAGGGGCCTGGCGAGGAAGAGGAGAGGGGAGAACGCAGGGAGAGAGAGGTCTCATGTTGGAGAGGGCCCCTTTCTGTTCTTATGCCTTTCCATTCCTCGCTCACTCTCTCTCCGTCTTTCCTTAGTTCCCCCCTCCCAGGCGAATACTCACTATCAGGGCTTCTTCCCCGGGCGGTTTTTCCCTCCGACTTGTCAGCATGTTGACGTTTTTTTTTTTTTTTGTAAAAGAAACGTGCATGGGGGATCTGGCAACCGTGTCCTTCACCGTTCTCATTCCTCGCCCTCCGCTTTGCTCTCTGCTCTCCCTCTCAGCGAGGAAACTGGCTCCGAAATGCATGCGAATGCACGGATGGCTCCTTCGATGAAGGAGGGAATACGAACCTGCTACATTGGGAATCCCTGGCAGCGTTGCCGGTCTCTTATCTGAGCGCCATGCACGCACAGACATGAGTCAATGAATGTGGGGCTGCGCAGAGTCCGGTTTTCCCTTCACTCCTAGCATCGGTTGCCTGTTGAAAACGTTGAGAGAATGAGAGTGAGAGGGAGGGGAGGAAAGGAATGGAAAAGCGAGGCGAGGCGAGGGCATCGGCTTCCTGTCAGACACCCCTGGCTAGTCCGTCCTCCCCTCGACACGGATGTCGGATTGCCTTCGTTCTTATTCTCTTTGTTCATCCACTTTGTTGACCATGTATTCCGTTATCGATTTCTCGCGATGTGCCCAATATCGAGCATTGAAAAGGAGTTTAATCCACTACTGATGAAGGATGCGAGAAAAAGTTGGATGACAAACGGGAAATGGGAGATCCATCTGGCAACCCTACGGTTTAGCCGGTTCATGTTGATGTGCGCCATGCGGGACCTCTAGGGAGAAGATAAGGAACGAGGTGGTCCTGAGACTTGCAAAATGGGCGTGCTGGAATTTCAGAAGTCATGAACAGACTGAATTAGTCACTTTTCCAATTACCTGCGATTGAAATGAACTATAAATATCCCCAGGTATTATACTGGTTTTCATACTTTCCTAGCCCATTCAAAATCGAGCGATGACGCCAATGCAATTAGAATGAATTGAGTTTGAAAATATCCTTCAAGGTGTTCATTATTGCATTCTCATTGTTGCTACCCGTCTCGCAGGAGTTTGTTTTCATTCGCAACTTGATCAATAAGATGCAATCTCAAATAGCTGGACACGAACCCACGCCTTGCCTCTTGATGTGCGCGCGCGGATGTAAGGTCTGGCCTGATCCATACGAAAGTTTGCAATTCGTAGATGAGTTTTGTAGGGACCCTGTGATGTCCTGAAGTTCCAATTGGAAGTTTTTGAGCCTATGGTATAAATGAGATATAACACCTGATCAGATAATTAAAGTAAATAACACTTAACAAATTGTTAATGCTTATGGGACAGAGTGACAATATCTACACAATCTATCACTCAAAGGCTCATTCTGATTCCATTATTTTTCAACTTGAAGTGGGATAAGGGAAACTGAAAGATGATGTAAACATGAGTTAGAGTAAATATAAGATTGAAGTGAATGGAATAAATATTTGATTGAAAATAAGTGCAATCATATCAAAGAAATACAATTTCTCATCATGATACCTTTGGTGAATCTGAGGGTTAATAAGTTTGACTTATTAACCCCTTTGTCTTTTTCAGATGGAATTGAATTTCATTGGTGATCTGATGACATGCATCATATTGATTTACCTGATCTGGTTTCATGTAATTGGAATTAGTGGAATAAAACAATCTAGATTTAACCTAGGATAAGCATATTCCTGCTGTAAACTCTGCTTCTTCCAAGAATCCTATCTTCTTCTTTGTAGGCCTGCTAAGTTGTGAAAAATTCATGGGGACAGTGAAGTGTCCTGGACCTCAGACCTTGGATGCTTGCAAAGCAATCTACAATGTTTTTGCTTCATTGTTCCATTCCGTTTTCACTCATTTTTCACAGCTTTTCATGAGAGACTGCCAGTAGCTACCATTAGCTCAACATTATCAGTTTAACCCCATCATCCATTGTCACAGCAATGTCCAATCCCTCTGACAAAATGACTTGTGTAGTCTTCAGTTTTGAAACTTTCACCCATAAGTATGGATGTAGTACTAGTATTTAGAAGCATGACATATTATTCTTGAGTATTTTTTTCCCTTCTCCCTGAACAGGAAGTAGAGGAATTCTTCAGTCGTGAAGTGCATGCTGTGGTCTCCTCTCGTCCAGAGTCAGTTTGGTTCTACCAGCAACAGCAACAACAGAAGCAGGGGCAACCGGTGAAGCTGCAAGAAAGTATTCTGAATCTTCCCAGTCCGAGTCCCGGATACGTTCCTTCACCTTCCTCTTGCTCCTCCTCCATTGATGATGGAGGCTGTGGAGCCAGAGGCCCTCTAGTGAGACTCATCATTGATGAAATAGTATTGACCCTGCTTATGTAAATGTCCTGGAAAGTAGAAGTTACAAGTGGTCATAAATCTTAACCTTGATTTTTAATACTAGTACTTGAGTCAGTCTTTTTTCTTTTGATGGTTCTACAATTTTGCATTGAGAATGTTTCAGAAGCTTTGCAAAAGTTTTTTGCTTGCATCGATTGCCTCATTTTGAATTTTTGAACTTCATGGAACCTTTTCTCAATTGTTCTTTTCTCCAGGGCAATCGTGGGAGTGCTATGCTGGCAAAGGCCATTAGGTCCAAAGCAAGTATTAGCAAAACTCTTGAAACTGCCCAACAGTTTGGAATTGCAATCTGGCCTTTGGCTAGGGTGAGGGCACAGTTTTCTTCTTGTTTATTGTGGTTGCATTTTTTTATGATCTTGGTTGTATGTAAGATTTTATGTCTACCCTTTTGTAAAATTGTAGGTGCTGGCTTTGCTTGAGAAAGCTCATAACCTTCCTACTGCTCGGAGAGGTGCCAAAGAAGCTCTTAAAAGAGTCACTGCTCGTCCCCTGAGAAGTCCCTTCCTCAAAGTTGAGGATAAATCCAGGTATGTCCAGAAATGGAGGGTGTAGTTTTGCCTTGTAACAATATTAACAGAAGTCTCTGAAGTCTAAGGAACGTATACATTTTTCATGTTCATTGAATGTCTTTTTCCTTTTCTGTAGCTCTCATTGCTCTAATATTTATTGTATGCATTTATGGGAAATCAAGTACTCAAACCATAGCCCATTAAGTGGTTCTGGATATTGAATTTTAAGTTGTTGTGAACTGAAGGTCTCACTGCCTTCCCTCTCAAGGGATCTCATCATGTAAGATTCTGATTGTATGCCAAACATGTATCATTAGCAGGAAGATGGAAATTTTTGTATATATGTTGTCAAAGCAACTTGAATTACCTCTCACAAATTCATTCTCTATTCAGGCAGAGGCTGGAGCATGGTCCCCTCTGATATTGACAATTTTTTATGTGGTACCGCTCATGGCCCAAAGTAAGAATGCAAAGTTTTGGCATCAGGTATGGAACCGTTTTGGCATGATAATTTTTTTCATTTTGTGAAATGAAAAAAAGGGGCATCTCTTCATGCTCGTGGGCCAAAAACTTTTCGACCAAAACGAACACAACAAACACCGTTGTTCTTTAAAAAGGTTAGACTTTCAAATTTATTTCATATGCTTTTTTCCTCAAGGTGATACTGAATAAAATAAGGCTGTCAAATTTGCCAATTTTTGGCATATTCAGAAATTTGCAAAATATCAACATGTCCGTCAAACCCTATCATCATATATGTTTTTGGAATTAGCAGAAGAAGATCTAATGATGTGTGTCCCATTTTTGTCCCAACAAACTCCACTTAAGGAGAGTGATGGCTCGAAATATGCAAAAATAACAAATTTCACAAACATTTTCAATTGTATGGTGCCATTTTCTATGCAGCTCAACAAACTTGAAAAATTTGCAGAATGTCTGCCATTTACTTCAGTAAAAGATGAGAGCAATTTCAAAGCTCATATATATATTTTGCTGTCAAGGGAAAAAAAATGTTTGAAGAACTGGTAATGCAAACTGTATGGTTTTTTGGCCCTAAAAACAATGGCAGAAATTGAGAGGTGGCATCTGAATAAAAATGTGTGCATGCATTTAAAAATATATATAAGCTTTGAAATTGCTCTCATCTTTTACTCTTACTTGACTATTTACTTATAGCAGATATTCTGCAAATTTTTCAAGCTTGTAGAGCTGCATAGAAAATGACACCATGCGACTGAAAACTTTTTTTTTGCGAAATTTGCAATTTTTTGCATATTTCAAGCCATCACATCTCCTTAAGTAGAATTTGTTGGGACAAAAATAGGACACACATCATTAGATATTCTTCTGCTGATTCCAAAAAAAATATGATGATAGGGTTTGATGAACATGGTGTTTTGCAAATTTCTGAATTTGCCAAAATGTTCAAATTTGACATAGCTTTATTTTATTCAATATTGCTGCCTCAAGGGAAAAAGTATATGAAATGACTTTGAAATTCTAACCTTTTTAAAGAACAATGTTGTTTGCTGTGTTTGTTTTGGCCAAAAAGTTTTGGCCCACTTGAGCACGTAGAGGTGCCCCTTTGAAATTTTGCATAATTTAATGAATTATTATGCCAAAATGGCTCCATACCCAAAGCCAATATTTTGCATTCTTACTTTGGGCCATGAGGGGTACCACATAAAAATTTTTTGTCAATATCAGGGGGGGTCACATTCCGGCCTCTGGCTGATTTGAGATGGAATGAGACTGCATTTTTTCATAAGTGCATCCTTGAAGACAACATTATTGACTTTGCAAATTTGAAAATTGGGGTTTTGATGTCATAGTAGCATTACTCTGCCTATGCTAGCTTAAATTTTGCAAGTGTGGGATGTATATTTGAGCTGTTTTCCATCTACCACTGGAGGTTTATTTTTACCACTGGTGGTGGCTTCTTTTTTTTTTTAAGGTGAAAGCATGAGCATTATAGTAGAATTTCTGAAGTGTGCTTTATGAGGGAATTTTATAGGAAATTGTTATGGTTTTGAGTGTGCTGGTTCCTTTAGATAGAGCCACAAGAGTTCCAAAGGAGATTTGAAAATTATCTGATAACATGAGCCACATGAGAACTAAGTTGGTTTTTCCATAACAGCCAAAGCTCTGGCACTCTTTCAACCCTCTGAGAAGCCAGGTGTTACTAGGATTACCATCAGGCTTCAGGTGCAATAGCCTTCATTCTTAGAACTGATGCAAGTAATTTGTGTCTTTGTCATATTTTTTATGCTTGAACCAAGTCTGAAGATTGGTTTTCACAGTATCAAGCAACACTATGGTTTTTCATGGGCTGCTTGAAGAACAAAAAATGAAGACAACATTGATCTCCATATGGGCTGTGTTCATTTAAATATGCATTACATCGTTAGCACTGGCACCATACAGTTCCCAGAATGTCAGATGTGATGTACTGCATACCAGAATACTCAGTGACATTTTCATATCTCTGCTTCTGGTGCTTTAAAATTGTTTTTGACCTCTCACTTGTTTTTAACAAAAGCTTCATTATCCCAAAAATCCCATAGGCATCCTCTAATTTGCCAGTGACAAAAAATCTTGGCAGGAAGGTGTATATATATTTGTTGAGAGAAACTTTTGAAGTAATTTCAAGAAATGTCATTTGTATCTTAGTGGCATTCAGACTAGGCAGATAGTGTAGTTCAGTGCAGCAGTTTCCTACTGACACCCCCTTGCCTTATTTTGTGGTGCTTTGTAATGGAGGGTAGGTGTGCTTATATTTGCTAATATATTCTCATGGGCTTTGGTAACTTCCATTCAGTTTTGTTTTTTTCCCTATGAAAAAAAGTTGCTGTCTGAGAAGTTAATAAAATTGATGCTGAGGCATTTGAGGAAAGTTGTGTGACTAGACTAACCATTGTTTTTATTCACGTCTAGCCTCATTTATTTTTTGCATTTCTGCGAAGCCAATGTATTTGACTTCTTCATTCCTGCAGGAAGTACCGTCCATTATACAAGGAGTTCTCTGTGTGGCCAAAGTTGCTACGTTTTGTCCGCAGTGCTGGTTCCCCATTTCATTTCACCAGTCAGCCTTTCAGCAACGAACCCTTAGGGGAGAAAAAGGTTGAAGTAAAAAAATTTGAAAAACCAACACGACAAAGGTCAGTCTTATGTTGAAAGTCTCTACATTCTGGGTTATCATTTGTAAGTTGCTGTGCAGATTAAATACAGCAAAATTTCTTATTGTTCGCAGAAGTTCTCCAAGGAAGCCACTTCCATCAGCCAGCACCTTGAAAAAACCTGCTACTGGGAAGTCAGGATACTGTGAAATCTGTAACGTGACCTTCAGGTGTCTTGAAGAGCACTTAGAAACCCCAAAACACAAGGCCTACGTTGTCAACGACTCTCATTATCACTGCATTGATCAACTTATTCCTGGTCATCAGGATTTCCAAGACTTGATTGCATCAGAGCTGCAAGTGTGAGTGGTTTGTTTGATCCTTGAGATTATCTCTTGATTTTCTCACTTTGTCTCCAGCTATATTTCTCAAGATCTATTACCCTAGCAATATGTTTTGAACACATTGTCAAGCCCTCCCAGGGAATGTCCTGTCTAGTTTAATTGTCAGATTTCTGAACATGGTTTGAAAATTAATAGTATTCTTAGATGCACAAGGCATGAGACTTAAAGTCTCTTCACTGGTTATTGCAGCTTTATTTAAATGTGAAAAAAAAAACTTTTCTCATTCTACGAGGGGCATTTCATAAATTCTGCACAGAATTTTTTTTCTCTTTTATTGCCAATTAATCCAACAGACTATATCTATAGGCCTTCTACATATTCTCCTTCCTTAGCAATGCAGGACTCCCAACGGTGTGGAAGGCTGTGAATGCCAGATAAGGCGCCATCTTTGTTAAGTTGACGAATGCGTCGGGTAACGGCACGAGAAAGTTCTTTCAAATCTGCAAAACGCACACCACGCATCTCTTCTTTGAGTTTTGGGAACAGGTCATAGTCTGGAGGACTCATATCAGGACTGTAAGGGGGGTGAGGAAGAATTTCCCAACAGTACTTGGCCAATAAATCAGTCACTACCTTACAAACGTGTGGCCTGGCATTGTCATGGAGGATGAGAACCCCTTGTTGGTGGAGTTCCGGGCGATTCTGGTGCATTTTTCTTCGAAGTTTCTGCAGGAATTGGCTGTAATATGCTCCTGTAACACTAGATTTCACAGGTACACGATCAGTAACAATCACACCGCGACAGTCGTAAGCAAAGATCATCATCTGCTTAACTTTTGATTGTGAGCGTCGACATTTCTTGGGCCTCGGTGAATTTGGGCTTTTCCATTGGTTTGATTGGGACTTCAATTCTGGTTCAAAATCACGGATCCAAGTTTCATCAATAGCCACTATTCTGTCCAAAAACGCTTCCCCTTCTGCTCTGTAACGTTGCAGGAGTTGCTGAGCAATGTCACGGCGTGCTGCTTTTTGATCATGTGTGAGCTGATGTGGGACCCACTTGGCTGCCACTTTTCTTTTGTGAAGATGCTGGGTGAGAATGCGAAACACTGACGTGGCTGATATCCCAGTATCTTGAGAAATTTCCTCACAGGTCATTCGGCGATCCTCTTCAATCACATTGGCCACACGTTGCACTGATTCGTCCGTTATTGCACAAACTGGTCTGCCAGACCTTGGATCGTCGTTTATGCTCTCCCGCCCACAACGAAAACGTGTGGCCCAACGAGACATTGTGCTCCGGTCTACTGCATCACTTCCACACACCTCCACAAGAATAGCGTGAATTTCTGTGGGAGTTTTATTGCGCAAAGTTTCAATTTTAATGTAAGATCGCTGATCGTTTTGTGTCACCGTACCCGAAAACTCTGCACTGGCCATTTTGAAAGTTTACTGTTTCTAAACAGCAGCACTTAGAGCAACAAGATTCGGCATGAAAGCACTCATAGGCTCAAACTATAACTGAGACAAAAATGGCGGTCATAACATCATCCAGCATTCAGTGTTGCCAACCTGTGCAGAATTTATGAAATGCCCCTCGTAATTGTATACTTGAAGAGTACCTGGTATTGATTTGCTTGAGTTTAACTAGTTGCTATATTCCATTTTTCTGCACATAGGAATGTTATTGACTTGTCTGTTTTGTCTCCTGTGTGTGAAATACAGGCAACTCAGCATAATAAATATGATGTTGTAGATAGTTTCAGTTATTGAAATACTCCAGATTATAGAGTATATTTTGCTAGTCCCTTTGAGTATTCTATTATGTGGGGGTGGCTTTAATTAGGTATAGCACTTAGGAATCTCTTTAGATTTGATTAAAATGATTATAAATGTAAAGTTAATGCATTTATGACTTTTTTTTCTTTTTTTTTTACAGGGTTTGCAAAGCAGAGGCAGGAATGGTGTCCTCATCTCCATCAGCAGAACACAAGAATCTAATTGCTGAGGCACCAGAACCTCGTCGTTCTAGCCTTAGGCTCCTTGCACACAGGGGGAAATCTTATGTATGTTTCAGTCCACAATTCTTTGAAAAATTTGTGGGATATTTCATAAGATGTCTTACCTCAGTTTCAATTTTTGGTTTTGGAGCAGAATGAAGGAGAAGGGATGAATGGGATTCAGAGTGATGATGAGGACCTGTCTTTGAGAGAGAAAATCCGAATTCGTTCCCATAGGCATTCTGATGAAGGCAGAAACAATTGCTTACATTCTTCAATCAAAACGCGAGCTCGACACCTCACAAGCTCCTCTGATGGGGCAGGGGAAACCATGAAGCTAAATGGAATGATGAATGGAAACCTTTGCAAGCGTCGCCCCATGTCCAGAACAGAGAAATTCCTACGAGACAATGTAGAGTACTACAAGCTACAGGTCCTGTCCTCAAAGTTGCGATCCACTGATCACCTGATGAGGATGACCAATGAGAGCGAGGACTTCACTCGACGGGGCCGCATGCATCCAGATTTGGCTCTTCTTATTGACAATCAGGAATATTACAAGCTTGAGACACTTCCTGGGAAACTACGTGCTTCCTCCCTGTCACCAAGACATTGTGAAGACACTCACATCCCACTGGAAAAGCCCAAGCAAGAGAACCCTCCTTTGCCAAAGACGATGGCTTCTCCTCATGAAGACAGTGATATTGTTGTGAATGTTGATTGTGCTTCCACTGAAGAGAAACAGCCATCTTGTTCATCTCCAAAACGAAGACCAGGTCGTCGAGAATTAGAGCAGCTTCTGGAGGACAATAAGGAGATCTTGGATCTCACTCTTTCTGATTCTCGTCTCCGTTCCTCCCCTCCCGAGTGTGGACTCTTGAAGCCAGCATTCAGTGACTGTGATCATCGCCTGTGTCAAAGTGAGCCTCCCCTGCATGAAGGTGATTCAGTGGCCCCAGATATGAGCTACCTCTTTGACCAGCATCCACCTGTGGACCCTTGTGTTAATTACCATAGCATGGACTTTCAACGCTTTTGGTCTGAGCCTGATACCCTAAAACCATTCCCTCTCCCCTTTGAAATGTCTTTTGATGTGGTGTTGCGCCAGGCTCAGCTGGTGCGAGGCAGCAAAAATAATGCTTCTGCAGCAAAGCGGAGACCATTGAGTGTAGCAGAAATGCATCGAAAGTCTCCTCGGTGCCATGCTTCAACCCAAGCCATTTTGTCTCAGCTGAAGATCTCTCAGGAGGTGAACCCAGAAGAACCAGTGACAGATGCAGGTCTGGCAGACTTGGCTCAGGGAATTGAAGAGGAGATCATTAATGGTAGCATTGAAGACATGGAAGATCTGCAAGAGCCAGGTGCTTTACCACCCACCATGTCATCAGGGCGTGGCAAGCGGGCTCGACACTCCAGCCACCGAGGTGATACCCTCCCCATTAGTATAGACACAAGCCACATCTCCCTGGACTTTTTGGCTAGAGCAGATGAATGTGAATGTGCATTGGTGTTCAATGGGATGGGAGAGGATTGTTCTACATCTGAGTGTTCTTCAGTTGGTTCTGCATCACAGAGAGACCGAAAGCGAAAGAAAGTCTACAAGCCAAATCGAACTGGCTGGCCCAAGAATAAAAAGAAACGGAAAGTGGAGAAGGTGGAAACACCGATACAAGTTCCTGTGACTGCAAATCGGAGGAGGACTCGATCATCAGGAACGCTGGACCCCAAAGACGATGTCTTGGATGCCTCACCAAAGCCCAAGAAATCAGAAAGTCCAAAGGAATCCAGTTCTCCAGGACGCAAGAGAGCTCGAATTGTATGAGCACCCTATTTTTCCCGCTGAGGTTTTTTTTTTAGTTCAGTTTTTCACCTGGATTTTTTTTTTATTTGGGAGTTTTTGAAATACTCTCATTTTTGTATTCTGTCTCCTTCACAAGGCTCAAGTCCAGAAAACTGTGTGAAAGATGTCACTCAGCTGGACCTTCATTAATACCTTCCAGGTGATGTATTCAGTGTAGAGCTTGTAATATTTATTCAAGATTTTGTGTTATTTTCATAGAAAAAGAGTTCATGGATTTTATTATTTTGTCTCATGCAATTTTTCCAGTTTATTTAAAATTTTGCAGTCAGTTTCTTGTTTTTTAGTTTCACATTTCTGGATGGTTTTCTTGTCTCAATGAAGATATCCAGTTTGGTCTTCCACAGCAGAAATTGATTTTGTTCTGGTTCATTGGTCAGTATCAATCTAATTGAACAACTTAAGTATTAGGCAATAAGAAATTGCTCCGAATTGTTTCGTTGATCTAATTCATTTGTCTGTAGACCTATCTCTTCTCGGCTGTGTATGAATACATATCAATCAGCATTGAATTATTCAAACTCCAATCACATACCTGTATCATCGCATCTTTATGGAACGTTCATTTAGAGGGGTGCACAATATTTCTCCTGATTGGTGTTGATCTGTATTTCTGTTGCTTCCGGAAGAAGAAGAGATGACTGGTTTCCACACTGTGTTTCATTTGTCACCTTTCTTTAGTTAATATGTAGCACTCTATGGAGGGTTCAACAAGCGAGTTTCTTATCTCACTGATAAGTTTATTTGAACTTAAACGACGTAAAAGAGACCTGACGGAAAAAGAAATTGCTGAGTGAGAGTGAGGAATGGAACCAGACGGGCGTGAAGGGAAGAACGGAGACGAGAGCTAAGTTTTCACAGCACGGACGAGCCCATACAGCAGAGGACGTCCCTGCGCATGTATTCTTATAAGACGAGGTGGAGTATGTAGGCAGTGCAGTGTGTGATTGTAGCGCTACGTGAAGCGGATCTCCTCCCCCCCAACCTCAATTTCGTCATTCGTATTTCACGGACCTTTTCGGGATGAAACTACGTTGGGTCTTCAATATTTCGACCAGGAAGCTGAGGTCTTTGCCCCTCGTCCTACCTCTTTTACTTATGTGCGTCGTGGTTTTGGTTTTCACGAGAAGTTGGAACTCTCGGAATGCATTCTTTACCGGAAGCGTGAAAAGTGTCAAAGGAATTGTCGAAGATCTGGACGAGGAGATGTCGTTATCCGATTTTCAATTTCATGACATGAGTCACCAAAAATGTGGACCGGGCCCACAAGCTCAGACCAACTTCACGTCTTGGGAGATCTATCCGCAATTCGAACTTGGTGTGAGTCCAAAAAAATTTTCGCTTGAGTGACCAGAACAATTTTTATATGAAGATGCTCAGTCTCAGTACCTTGGACTTGTCAAATTGGAGGCAAGGAGATACAAATGAGAACAATTTTATAATATTCTTAAAATGCATTACATGGTTCGAAATAGGAAAAAGAAAAGTAGGTGTCATGCTTGTAAGGGTGAATATATTCTTGCGTGCCTATGCTGTAGAATATTCATGCACATTGTCGACGGCCGCTCAGACTCTGCCTCATCGGTACATCCTAAGTGGATACAGAATTGGTCCGCCTGGATTTTGAGTACAGGTATAGTAGACGGCTCGATGGACATTTTGGTGTAATGCCCTGAATGGTTCAGGAATGGAGGTCATGCAAGAACGGATGCTGGAAGAGAAAGATCAATGGAAGGGTGGAGGAAACCGCAGAGACAGATAAAGATTGGAACCACCGAGATGTGGTGGCGTGTCGTTTCCGCGGCCCACCATATGTCACCTGAGGGTTATTCACCAGAAAAGAAAGCAATTTCTTCAGTCGAGTCCGGGCAAATATTTTTCCTGTGAGGATATGAATTACCTCGCATTCTTCTTGTCAGCGCCATTGCCATACGGAACAAGAGAGAAGCCTTCTTGAAAGTGCCTTGAATATTTTAGCTCAAATTTTAGCTTTTGCGAAGAGCGTGGCAGGAGATTTTCAGCTCTTAATAGATGCAACGCGGCACGATCACTATTTGCCTTCTTATCTCATCGTTCTTTGCCAGGAAACAGGAAAGGCTCAGATGAGGTTCTTTTCACTCACTGCTAGACACCACCGAGTCACGGCCGTGAAACCTAGAGCAACAGCTCGTTTTCTCTTAGAAAAACTGGAAAGACGCAGGCATTTGTGGTAAGTGGAAATGTTATTGAACTTTCCTCCCTCTCGACGTCCTTGAGTGTGGGCTGGGCTGCATGCAAATTACACACACAAAGGAATCGTTGCAGCGGCCCGGGAAGAAACAAGAGACCAGATGCAGGAATCTGCAAGCAGGTAATGAGGCGTATCAAGTTTGTGGTCCAATTTAGCCTTACAGTCGCACCTGAATACAGGATCGAGAAAGTACTTATTCGTGCACATTTAGTCCGAGTTCCATCCCATCCAGGTAATTGGCCGTTATGTAGCGAAAAAGTATCGGAAAAGTTCAAGAAAAATTCGAAATTCCTAATTGGCGAAGGAACATACTTTTATGGCGGCTTTTATAATTCAAATGCAAAGAAATTCGCCGAGCAGCGCAATCTAATCCAGAAAAGCACGGAATGATATTGACATTTAAAAGTTAAACAGGGAGAAAATTCGTGACTGGAATCCAATTACATAATTGTCCACTGGAGAGTAATCTGGCCCTACACTCTTAGAAAATTCCGAGCGTTTGGGGAGTAAAAAGTGCGTGAGCTTTTCGATGTTACTCTCTTAGTACTCACCAAATGCTCCCTCATCGCTCGCATTGAAGTGAACACCTTGAAGTTCTTCGCCGGGCCACTAGATGGAGATAAGGGTCTCGCTTTTCGCACAGTACACAAAAGTTACCTTCCCTCTTTCCCTGGAATCGTCCCCCGCAGGATTGTTTAGTACCTTGCCATGTGTCTCGCTTAGTCTCATTAATAGGAATCAATAAACACGGACACTTCATCATTTGTTATCCACATATTCAAGACATATTCATAGAGTCCATGCCATAAACAAGCTCATATTCCTATTGAGAACCCCCTTGGAACGCAAGTGATCTAGATAGCGTAGAGAGTGCACGTGAACTTTATTCCCTCATACCTCAATTAAACGAGGTGATAAGGACTGATATCCCGGACTACTCTACGGAATCAATAAGAGGTAGTCCACCCTCTGACGTGTGATGTAATCAGTAGAGTCAGAGGTAAGTCAACGCATGTACGAGAGAGATAGCGACACAGTATATAAGGAATTTTTCGCATTTGCACGACATCCCTATCACTTTCTGATGGAAGCGTTTTTACTCACGGAGGAGGAGAGCAATTTTACTCCTTCATGATGGAGTAAATTTGTTCCTTTCCCAACACAGTATATAAGGAATATATCGCATTTGCACGACATCCCTATCACTTTCTGATGGAAGCGTTTTTACTCACGGAGGAGGAGAGCAATTTTACTCCTTCATGATGGAGTAAATTTGTTCCTTTCCCAGAGTGCTATTTTACTCTTTTTTTTTTTTTAGAAAAATCGCTCCCCTTTTTCTAAGAGTGTAAACTGCACTCAAGCATCCTTTTGCTCCAAGATCAAAGGAGCAATCTCCTGCCTTCGGATTCGAGCAAGATCAGGCAAATGTAGTGTTATGTCACCTATTTACACGGATAGAGTCCCAGTGCCAAGACATGATCGGAGTGAGTTTTTTCCTCGTTCTGCAACGACAGCAGGACAACAGGGGTCGGCATCAAGTGGCTTAAGCGTCGGACCATCAGAAAGGCGAGAATCTATTAGCTCTACCTGGAGGAGGCTTCTCTCTTGTTTCTAAAAAGCAATACGGTTTTACAATTCCTGTCCTTAAAGATAGAGCCGCGCTTTGCCTTTTGGAAGAGCTCAATAGTGCTTTGCCTTTATGTGTTTGTGTTAGACCTATATCGGCAAAGCCTATGGGAGAAACATCTTTCGAAACGAGCACAGTTGGGCTACTCGAAGGATTCTCATGTGACTAGCCAAGGGGGCTATGTTGCCTAACCAATTACATCATTACTGCTGGTCAGGTTATTGACCGAAAGATCCTACCCGTTGTCGGATCGAATATGAAATTCGAATATCGAATGAAAGGGACACTCGACAGATGGCCCCTCGATTTAAAACTGCAACACGACCAGAAATGAGGCTCGCAAGAGTACCGGAGTGCCATCTCATGACAGACCAGGAAACTACGTGAAAATGATTCCAAATCGATTCTCCAATTTGGCATTTCTTCAATCGCTGTGCTCATGAACCTCACGTCTAAATTGGTTCCTTAGCATGCGTTGGGAAGGGAAAACGCCTTCTTCACTCTTAAGACCGTCGCAGGGACGATCCAAGCAAAACGCTTGTCATGTTGGTGAGAAAGATCATGGGGCGCACTTCTCATCGCCTGTAGTCATGTCACATCCGGATAGAAGTCTAAATGTGATGGTTTGACACCCGGAAAAATTCCCGTGTCATGATCCCTCGTGCGCATCGTCACCTTCTTACCCAACTTTATCATCGCAAGCTACCAGTACCTGGATCCGGATTCGTGTTTCCATGCGTTTTGCTCAATATTAGGCTTTTAAATTCTAAGCTTTATAGAAGTTGTTGGGATGATCTCAACATCTCACAACCGCTGGAAGATACACGTGGACCGAATGAATATTGATTTTAACCTACGCTTTTTTCATCGTAGCCTATGCTGACCAACAGAAAAGAGTTCTTCGAGGATCCCAAGTACGCCCACCTTTTCCAGGAATACGAAAAAAGTAACCCGAAGGACCTTCCGAAACTCAAGGTTAGCCGATTTGAGGTCGACATATCTCAAAATCCAAGAACGAAGCGAGGGCATTCATAGTGGTAATTGCAGGTGATCCTGGTGCCTTGGAGCCACTGGGATCCTGGTTGGGGACAGACCCCGGAAGGCTATTATCAATGGGTGAAAGTCATCATGAAGGGATATTTAGAAAGAGCACCAAAACCTGAGTACAAGAACTTGACTTTCATCCTCGCTGAGATCTTCTTCCTCGACCGGCTTTGGCAAGAGTCCGTCTCAGACCCTTGGGTGAATATCAAACACACGCAATAATTGTCTGTCTATACGCGATTCGAACTGATCTTTTTCAGCCTGGACGGGAAGGAAAAGGAGTCCCTGAAGGAGTTAGTGGAAAGAGGAAGATTAGAAGTGATAACAGGAGGCTGGGTCATGACAGACGAAGCTTCGCCGTCTCTATAC